ACCAGGAAACATAGGTAGAAGAGAACATAATATGTACCAGGAAACATAGGTAGAAGAGAACATAATTTGTACCAGGAAACATAGGTAGAAGAGAACATAATATGTACCAGGAAACATAGGTAGAAGAGAACATAATTTGTACCAGGAAACATAGGTAGAAGAGAACATAATATGTACCAGGGAACATGGGTACCAGAGGACATAATATGTACCAGGGAACATGGATACCAGCGAACATGGGTACAGGAGAACATTATGTACCAGGGAACATGGGACAAGAGAACATAATATGTACCAAGGAACATGAGTAGAAGAGAACATAATATGTACCAGGGAATATGGGTACAAGAGAACATAATATGTACCAGGGAACATGGGTACAAAAGGACATAATATGTACCAGGGAGCATGGGTACAGGAGAACATTATGTACCAGGGAACATGGGTGCAAGGGAACATAATATGTACCAGGGAACATGGGTAGAAGAGAACATAATATGTACCAGAGAACATAGGTAAAAGAGATCATGATATGTACCAGAGAACATGGGCAAAAGAAATAGTGATATGTACCAGGGAACATGGGTACAGGAAAACATAATATGTACCAGGAAACATGGGTACAGGAAAACATAATATGTACCAGGGTACATGGGTAAAAGAGATCATGATATGTGCCAGGGAACATGGTACAAGAGAGCATGATATGTACCTGGGAACATGGGTACAAAAGAACATAATATGTACCAGGGAACATGGGTACAGGAGAACATTATGTACCAGGGAACATGGGTGCAAGGGAACATAATATGTACCAGGAAACATGGGTAGAAGAGAACATAATATGTACCAGGGAACATGGGTACAAAAGGACATAATATGTACCAGGGAACATGGGTACCAGGGAACATGGGTACAGAAGAAAATTATATACCAGGAAACATGGGTAGAAGAGAACAATATATACCAGGGAACATGGGTACAAGAGAACATAATATGTACCAGGGAACATGGGTACAGGAGAACATAATTTGCACCAGGGAACATGGGTACCAGAAAATATAATTTGTGCCAGGGAACATGGGTACAAGAGAACATAATATGCACCAGGGAACGTGGGTACAAGAAAACATAATATACACCAGGGAACGTGGGTACATGAGAACATAATATGTACCAGGGAACATGGTACAAGAGAACATAATATGTACCAGGGAACATGGGAGAAGAGAACATAATATGTACCAGGGAACATGGGTAGAAGAGAACATATGTACCAGGGAACATGGGTAATATGTACCAGGGAACATGGGAGAAGAGAACATAATATGTACCAGGGAACATGAGCAG